TAAACAGCACAGTAGTGTTTTCCGCAAAAAAGCCCCGATCGCGAAAATGGCGATCGGGGCTTTTTTGCAGAAAACCGCTAGATTGGCCACGGACGCTTTTCCAGAAAAAGTGCTTTTGTGGAAAAGCATCCTGCCAATCTAGACGTGCTTTTCCGAAAATGCTTTTAACGGAAAACTTTTCCGTTAAAAGCATTTTCGGAAAATCATGCCAGTGTAGACGTAGCCCATAGGTTAAAAACTTTGTGTGTTCTATACTTTCTGAATTTATATATCCTTGTGACATCTTACTGTGACTCTGTTTTCCCACAAGATTCTTGACCATCTTTCACAGTACTGTATTAGTGTAGTGGAATCTGGCTTTCTAAATGTTGACAGCTGAGGCATATCTTTTTGATAAAGACAGATTTCTGCACATTTGCAGAGGGTATCATGTAACAGTGTATTTATCCAAAGAATCAACACAATAATAATTGGAGTCTCTATTTACCCTCCGAAATCCTTTTACTGCTGACTAGGAAAAATACTGATATGTCTATTAAGATCTCAAAGAACTTTGAACATTTGCACTGAACTTCTGATGAAGCGGAAACCAGCCAGTTAGAGAGGCAGACACCACTCCATGTCCCATCAACTTAGATGATACTGTTGAGGATCAATTTCGTTGTGTGTAACTAATTAATTAAAATAGAGCCAGGGAAGTAGTGGTACTCTGGTAATTAAATTATTCATTTTCACATATAAATTTAAAGCCCTCTTAATGAACTTCCCACCCAAGTGAACACTGCTGGATTATCAGATTGAGCTGTGAATGGTTCCAAATTAATCTGGAACTTTAAATAAGCTTTTAATTCATTGGATTTTTAAAATGCATATTTGTTGTTATAGGGATTTTTGTTATTACAGGGATTTGTCATCAGAGATGGGTAAATTGCTGATTGGGGGATTGGGGAATGATTGGAGATTTATGGTCACTTTCCCAGTAAAATTCCCAGAGAGCACAAATGGTTCTGGCAGTCAGGGTATAGGAGTGTTACTTTCCTGACATATCTAAACAGTACCTGAATAATATCTTTGTTTACGACATTTCATTTATTTTCTTTTGATTTTTAGTGATAAAGAGTACCTGGTGTTCATGCTTTTAGTCTGCTTGAAGTTTTGTGTTTGGTACACAGAAATTTTCATTTTCAGGGCTTGTTCACACTGAACGTACAACTGTTGATGTACTCTGGTTCTGAAACACTCTTTTTCCCAAGTTACAATACAACTGAGTTGTTCTTATACTACAACTTTTTTTTTCATGAGTCAATGAAGTTTGTTGCTGCATAGAAAGCTGAGGGAGAGGGAAATTGGCTACAGGTGGTTGCAAGTTCTGTCCATGTTGCAAAGTAAGTGCTATTACTCAGTCACAGGAACACAAACTTTTTTTTTTTTAAATGTAGATGTTCCCATAAAGTATTTCCTTCCCTTCCTGACCCACCAATACATTTGTCCTTTCTCTCTGCAAAAGCAACTAGCACTTGTTTACGGGTAAAAGCGACGAGGAGTCCTGTGGCACCTTATAGACTAACTGAAGTGTAGGAGCATAAGCTTTCGTGGGCAAAGACCCACTTCGTCAGATGCATCTGACGAAGTGGGTCTTTGCCCACGAAAGCTTATGCTCCTACACTTCAGTTAGTCTATAAGGTGCCACAGGACTCTTCGTCGCTTTTGCAGATTCAGACTAACACGGCTACCCCTCTGATACAGGAACACAAACTGTCAGCCTAGGCTTCTGACAAGAACAGCACGTGGATAATTGGCACAATTACTAGCTAAATGTTAGCTATTCTTGAATGCAGACCATGTTTATTGGCAATCATGCTTCTAACTGGTTAATATTTAAAAGGTGTAGTTAACATCTATAATTATTTTGATGCTGGAGAGTAAGTATTTACCCAAAGGTAAAACAATTATACGTGTAAAGTATATGTAATGTTTTATGACGTGTATATATAAAGCAATGTCATTGTTTTGGGGCTAAGCAGTAAGCTTGGTCATTGGACATCTTTATCTCCTTGAAAAAATGCTGGTAACATGTTCCATTGCTATTAGTACTTTCTCTAAGTTTTTCTCATCTAAACGGATAAGAAATAATATTAAGCTCTCACTTGTGTCTTTTAGTGCCCGGATATTAGAGAAGGCTCGGCAGCAGCTACAGGAAGATATATTACGGATCCAGAGTCAGCTACTGGATGAGAAGAAAAAACGTGAGCATCACGAAGCTTTTGTCAGACGCTTGCAGAAACGAGTGCTACTGCTTACAAAGGTATAGAATCTGGAAAGAATTCAGGAATGCAAGCATTTCTCCTCTGCCGTTGTTACTGTTCCTGCAGTTCTATTATTTCTCATCTTGTGTGCTTAGTAGTTGATAGTTCAGTGCTACTTGGTTTTAGTCTAGTGGATGCTGTAACAGTGACGTGTATTGTCTTTGGGGCTGCTCAGAGTAAATGCACTAGTGTCAGTGCTGGCCTGCTGGTGTGTGGCGCTTGTGTACACTGCTGTTATGTAGTTGACATATCACTTAATATCATTCTTGGCATCTATGTTTGGGGAGAGAGTTAAGTCAAATTAACAGGGTAAGACAGCAGCATGATTCCTCAGAGCTCCAGTATATAGAGGAAGAAAAGCCTGTTGAGAGTCGTTGGATTAAGTTTAGAGGTGGAAGCAACAGAGGTGATGTTGTGGTTGGTGTCTAATATAGACTACCAGATCAGGTGGATGAAGTAGATTAGGCTTTCTTCAGACAGCTAACAGAAACATCCAGATCACAGGCCCTGGTTCCCATGAGGGGCTTCAATTACCCTGAAATCTGTTGGGAGACGGATACAGAAGTACACAGACAATCCAGGAAGTTTTTTGAGGATGTTGGGGATAACTTCCTGGTACAAGTGCTGAAGGAAGCAACCAGGGGCCATGCACAGCTTGACCTGCTGCTCACAGACAGGGAGGAATTAGTAGGGGAAGTGAATGAGAGTGGCAACCTGGGCAGCAGTGATCATGAGATAGTTGATTTCAGGATCAGGAAGAAAGGAGAGCAGAAAAATACACACCCTGTACTTCAGAAAAGCAGACTTTAACTCCCTCAAGGAACTGATGAGCAGGACCCCCTGGGATGCTAACATGAAGGGGAAAGGAATCCAGGAGAGCTGTTTTACTAGGAGGGAAGTGAAACACTGGAATACTTTACTTAGGGAGGTGGTAGAAGCTACATCCCTAGAAGCTTTTTAAGTCCCTGCTTGACAATGCCCTGTCTGGGATGATTTAGTTAGGGTTGGTCCTGCTTTGGGCGGGGAATTGGACTCGATGACCTCCTGAGGTCTCTTCCAGCCCTATAATTCTGTGTATATATTTCTGTGTCTGAGCCACTAAATGGAATTTAAAATGGCCTAGATAGTTACATCGCTTGCTTCTCCAACTAGAAGAAAGGTACTGTACTGTGCATGTCTTCTGTGGAGAAATGGAACTTAGGGAAAGGTGAGATGGTCACATCACCTGTATATAAAAATCCTTTCACATTTAGCTAACCCAATAGCATTTTGTTGAAATTAATTTAGGACCATTTCTACAGATTTTTGAACCATTCTATGGAATTTGGTAGAAGAACTTTTATTTTTTGATTAAATTTTAGAATGATTTAAGAGCCTGTAGGACCCTGATTGTTTTATATTAAATTCTGCAGTACTGTTGCCTGAGGACAAATGATCATTTATTACTTCTCTCTCATCACAAAGTTGTGAATCCAAGCACGCCCCATGCATAACTTCACTTATCTTAGCAATTCAATGACATCAATAGGTCACGTGAATAACCTGAAACTATTGTGTATGGCAGATCAGGTTCTAAACTAGATGTGCCAATATCTGGGAGAAGCAAGACAATAGGAAGGAAAGATGAAGGTAATAAAATTTGTTGTAGCTCAGCTCACTGAGCGTTAATGCACAAGATATAGTGATGTATCTTTACTAAGTAGATACGTTATTTGGATTGAAGACTGAAATTAGACAGAACAATTTTTTCCAGCATTGTATGAGAGATGTGGCCCACAGGAAAATAAAAGGTGTTGTTGCTGTTGCTTCAGGCTTAAAATTTGAGTGTTGACTACAGCTACAGAATCTTGATTTGCTTTAATTATTCTGTGCTCAGTTCTGTAATTCTGTGTCAGTGGTGAGCCAAAGAGGCTGTGATGTATGGTGTACTAAGCAGAGCTTTCTGGAGCATGAAGCAGCTGTTTCACAAGAGGGTATTAGTTAAATCTATTAGTTAAATCTCTTTCTGGCTTCAGAAGATGGCATGAAGAGTCCAGTAAATGACAGAGACAGAATTGCTGTAGCTTTTTTTAACATATTGTGGCAGGCGTTGCATTCTGAGTGGCTGGCAAATAGGACAGGAAACCTTTGCTCCCCTTGGCTCACAGAAACTATAAGCAGCATAGACAGGATTTTCCAAGCATTATACATTTCTGGTTTCCACGTGGTCTGTAATGTGATAGCCGTGGTTATAAACGTAATTGGATAATTCCAAGTGAGATGGATTTGGTCACAGAGACTCCTTGGAACTGTCACTTCATGTGCTGAATTACTGCTGATCCCATCTTCCTGCCCTCATGGGTACCCCTCAACTCCGCAGTGCTTGACCTGGCTCTCAGGCCTTCTCCAGCAGTGACAGTGAGATGGAATCATAGTCCTTTGCAGTACAGTACAGATGCTGAGATCCGCTCAGCTCTAGGATGGGACTTATTTCAAAGGGACTTGCCTCAGCACCCAAATGCACAGCCTCAATGGGACCTGTGCCCAAGATAAATCTATCTTATTTTATATAAAGTTTTGTACAAGATAAACTCATGTTCACCCTCTTTCTCAGGATAAACAGAGAGATGCACAGACTCCCTCTAGATACCAGTTACTTTCATTGGGTTTATTAATAAACAAAAGTGATTTTATTAAATATAAAAGGTAGCATTTATGTGGCCATAAGAGATAGTGACAGAACAATGTAGGTTATTAAACAAAATAAAACAGAATATGCAAAATACGCTAAGAAACTGATTACATGTAGTATCTCACTTTTAAAGTTGTTCTAATAAGCTTCTTTCACAGACTGAAGAGCCTCCCAGTCTGGGATCAATACTTCCCCCCGCCCTCCCCATTCAGTTTTAGATGTTTCAAGCAGTCATCTGGGGCAGGTAGTCAGGGAGGACTGATGACCTTGATTACCTCATTCCCACTCTTAAATAGGTTTTGCACAAGGCAGGAATCATTTGTGTTCAGTTTAAACATTTTTTCACTTTCAGTGGAAAAGTACAGAATTGAAGATGGGTCTCAGAATCAGGTGACATGGCCACGTGTCTTAATAGGATCATTCATAGCTCTTCCAGGCTTACTGGAAAAAACAAGTCTATTCATAGATTATTGTTCTGAGCACTGCGCCATTAAGTTCCATATTCTGTTTTATTTTGTTTAATAACCTACATTGTTCTGTCACTATCTCTTATGGCCACATAAATGCTACCTTTTATATTTAATAAAATCACTTTTGTTTATTTATGGCCCTCATTTAGTATGACTACATTAATAATACAGGTATAAACTTCATTTTCCTATCTTGATCAACAAAGATGACACATTAATTCAAATGTGAAAATTATATATTTAGTAGACTATAACTTTTCTGGTGATAAAACAAATACATTATGTATTTTACAGAAAGCATATTCCAGTTATGTCATGTTCATAAGCATATTTTTATAAAGCCTATGGAATATCCGGTGACACCACGTATTTTGAAAAAGAATACAGCACTTTATCAGTCCTTTGCTACCTGTATTGCATTTATATAACAGAACTTCACAAATACCTTGGGAATGGAGGTTATTCGTAACTCTGAACAAAACATGGTTGTTCTTTCAAAGGTTTACAACTAAATATTGATTTAATACAGCTTTGAAGCTTTACCATCCAGATAAAAAATGTTTACTTCGAACCATCCAAATTTAAATGAACCACAGTCAATTTTTAAAAAACTTTTCTTTTATTTTTAGTAGTTTGTTTAACACAGAACTCTACATTATTTGCTACTTTTGTTTGTTTGTTTGTTTCTGTTGGCTGATTGAGTACTTTCAGATCCAAAGGAGATGTGTGGTTGACTCCTCAGATTGTCAGTTTGGTGTTTGTAATTCTGAGATTCTACTGTAACCTCCTTAGCTTTTTGAGGTTCTTCAGTGTAGCATCAGACCTGAGCAAGAAATTATAAAACAGTTGCCCAATAAACCACCAAAATATTTCTTTTGTTAATCTATTTTCTTTTGTCAGCTGGCAAATACATAGGATACAGATTGATTTTTAAAGTCCTGGATTGAAAGATCTCAGACTGTTCTCTGCAATATATGATGTAGCAGACTGTAATCCTAATTTCTGTTTTGAAGACATGAAGACGCTTGGATTTGTTCCTCTCTGTGGTTTTATTTTTTTCAGAAGAGTACAAATCACTGGAAATGTCCTATTTGAATTCATAGCAAATACACTTGCTTTTTCAAAGTGGAAACCTTCAGTGAGCTCTGTAATATTTCATCTGAGCCACTTTAAAGGAGAAAAGGATATCTCTGTCCTCAGAAAATCTGCTTTGGGATTACATGAGGTCCTCTGTAGAACCACATGAACAGTTAGAGCTATGGTAGAAATTTAGCCAGTTTTTCCCCGGTGCTGGAATTCTTAATGGTGGTTCTACTCAGAAAATTAGGGAAAGGAATTTAATTTACTTAAAAAATTATAATCTTGTGGTTTAAAATGAGACTGAGCAAATAGTTTCTTTAAAAATAATAATTTCATAGTGAAAGCATATCACCTAGAGTGGAATTTAATCATCTGATTAGTGTGGCATCAGTAGTAGACTGTGCTGCTTTCTGTGTCATTGAAAGTAGAAATGAGAGGGGAAGGAAGGGGAGTTCACTTATCCATCTTTCTGGTGAATCTGGTGTGTTTTGTTAAACAGGACTATAAAAATCACATTTTGGGGAAAGCATTGTTATATATGACATGGTCCTTATTGTTCTGCGGCAGTATGTTTGTTGTGGTTAACCGGAGGCAGAGCAGCTGGGGGTGCTGTCGGGTTGGTCCAGTAGCACCGCCCCTCAGGGCTGCGGGACCAACCCAGCAGCACCCCAGCTGCTCTTGGGGACGCCTAGAGCAGAGCAGCCAGAGTGCTGCTGGGTTGGTCCTGCAGCGCCGAGGTGCGGCGCTACAGGACAAACCCGGCAGCACCCCAGCTACT